CAATAAATAATTGCTCATTTTCCTCTTTCTGCTATCATGTCTTTGATTCTATCACTAAGTTTAGAAGTCTTTCCTCTCCATTCTTATATCAATGTACCATTTCATTCTTTCCTTTTATTTCTAAAACTTTTTAATTAAACATTCTTTTAATCTTCAAAAAACCAATCCCAGTAAACTATTTTCTACTGAGATGTTTTTAGTAATAATTTACTTTTAACTTTATTCAAATTCCATATTTTTACTTTATCAATGTTAAAATATGTGAAGTTACATCACAAAAAAAATGTTTAACAATATTTTTACTATTAAAATTTCAATAAAACAAGAAATTTTATATTCTTTTTTACAAAATATTTTCTATATCTATTGCTTATCTTCATGGTCTGAGCCACAAAAAGATAGCTTCTTGCTTCTCACATAGGATATTATCATGATTTCTGGGGATACATAAAGGTTATTTCTTGCCCAGCTGCTTCATCTGATATAAATCCTCAAGGGAACCATCATAGGCTCTTCAGGATAAGATGTAAAAATTAGATATTAAAAATTTGATGATTACATGTTAAAAAAACAATAAAAAATCCGCAAGAAACTTCTAGGTTATTACTAATTCTTAATAAAAAGTTATCATTATACATCTTACACCATTAAAAATAAATAAATTATTTAAGAAACAATAATTTGTAAGCATTTTTAATTGTATTTTTCTATCGATTTATCTCCATTTTGAAATTTTTCTTTAAAATATCTTTTAGAGAAATTAGATTTTAAAAAGTTTTTCGAGCGTAAAAATGCTTAAAAAATACACTAAAACTTTAAATATTGATCAAAAATATAATTCATTTTGGTAAGAAATATCTTATTTTAGTAATGAAGTGTCTTAAGTTTTATAAAGATTTTAGAAAATTTTAAGTTAGTTTGAATGATGATAAATGCAGAAATATTTGCCGTAAATTTTAATAATAAAAGTGGATAATATGGTATTTATGGACATAGTTTCATTACCCATAAAATGCCTAAAGACATAAAGATGATAACTTTGAGAGAGAGAGAGAGAGAGGCATATATTCTTTAAAGAACATAATCGATATTAAACATAGCGCATTCTTTAAATTAATGCATTAAAATCTTAGCATATAACATAAAGTATTATTTATATAATTGCTAATTTTATTATAAATTCCGAGATATTGTTAATTTAATTAAAATTAAATCTTCTAATAAGCATTATTGAATTATAACGTTTCGGATTTAACAGGATTACTTAAGAGATAGTGAAGAATTCTTACAAATTTGCATTCATATTATTATATTAAACGAATATATTGCGTTATTTTTTANTATCAATATATTAATCATCAAAATAAAAATTTAAATAATAATAATAATGAAATTAATTTGTGTGTTTTCAGTTTCATCTACAATAATCATTGAGTTTTTATTATTCACACTGCTAATTTTCTGCTAATTTATTTGATGTCACTTAACTGAAGCCGACAATATTGATTTAACTCAATTCATATTTTGTACTGTACATACTAACTGAATACTGAAATAAAACTGACGTGGGCCTTTAATTGACAGCATTATCTTTACAATTTTATAAACTATTCTCTTTGACATACTGTACATTACAGTACATGATAAACACAAATCATACTTTTAATACATTAAATAAAATAATCCAGCAGTTTTTTGGTTTAAGACTATAATTTTAAATTTGAAATAATTTTTCATTAAAAAGATAAATTTCATACAAGATTTGTGGCATCTATGAATTAAAATTAAATAATTTAGAACTTTCTAGAAAAATAGTTTCAGATCTAGATGACATAACTGTTAATATGCTTATCCAGTTTGCTAGAATTGCAAGTTTGAGCTTCACTCTAAATTAATACTTTTAAATGAGTATTTGAATCTAATACCATCAATGAATTCTGAAAACATTTATCTTGAACCCAGTAAGTGACTTCTTGATATATGTGCCAAATTTTTCAGCTTAAAAAGTAATAATCCTTTTAAGATTTATTTTAAAAATAATGTAAATTTAAGATTCATTGGAAAATACTTCAAAAATCATTATAAATTTAAAATGATTGCAAAAAAATACAACTTTCAGTGTTTAGTGTAAAAATTTAAGTAATTAAATAGGATGATAATTGTTTCATCTTTTTAATTTATATAGATTAGAATAAGATGAAAATCTTTTTTGTTAACTTCACTAAAGTTTTTCCATTATGGCACAACAATGTGGAACATGTTCATGGGTGTATCAAATGCTATATTCTTGAAATAAATTTTAAAAATGTAATTGTTGTAAGAAGTGAATTCAGGAACATATTGGATCAAATTAACAGAGACGATGGGTACAGAGACAATACTTTTCCTTTGTTTGTTTGATCCAGTTTATTTAACAGAATCAACAGACTCAACAACAAGAATTTTAATAAACAACTAACATTTTCAACTACATTTAACAGCCATCATCAGGTTTATTAAAATTCTTGCAAGATTTTATTGGTGTTCACTCCGTTTCTTACCACTAAATCGAATTTTTACGTTTACAAAGTTTAATAGAATCCCCTTTCGAATGGGAATATCTAATTTACCAATAAGCTAGAACAGTTGACAACCGACACAAACAAACACGATACGTATTTACTCCAGCAGCATTTAACGGAAATTACAAATGTTTTTGGCAGAATTAAGATGCCTTCCTGAGGTAAAAAGTCATTCACAAATAGAATAAAGATTGTATTCAAAAATGGAGAAACGTTCCAAACAGAATGTGGTACAATTTTAAATTTACAATATAAATTAAACAACAAAAAATATTATAAGGTTTACATATGATAAATACACTAAAATAATATAATAATACCACGAAATGACTTACCTCAGGAAGGCATTTTAATGCTACCGAAATCATTTGTAATTTCCTTTAAATGCTGCTGGAGTAAGTACATATGGTGTTTATGTCAATTGAATGGGAATAGCAATACAAACATCTGATATTCACCAACAAGATGAAAAGTCTTAAGATTTACAGATGATACTACTCTTAATAGAGAGCCAAGATTTAGAAGAATTATCATAAAGGTAAAAATGAAAAAGAAAAATCTACTTTTAAATTACATTTTTGTTACAAAAAATCACTTTCTTAGTTTCCAGTACACCACGTTTCTCTGCCTACAGATACTAGAGAAACACAATCGAAAGAAAGACAATTGGTAAATTTATATAAAAAAAGGATAATGACAATAAAGAAATAAAAAATTGGGGATTCTCGAGATATTGGATTTCTTCAGCAGCAATATGCACTCCTAAAAACCAAAGCAAAGAAGAAAGAACAAAGGAAAGAAATTTGACACCATCGAATTATAGATTTGGAGAAAGTTATTTACAATGATGCATAAAAACAAACTGATAATTCTTACATAATGTCAAACTCAAATGTCAATTCAAGAGAATATTTGAGTTGGACATTTAGACAACAAGCAACTGAAAAGCCTATTTTAAGCATATAATACTTACATATCAGAGAAAATAATTATATTCAGTAAATTTCAGGAAAATGAAAATTACACAATGTACAAAATAAAAAAACTGCATAGAATTCCATTGCTTAGTATGACTTTGGAAATACCAAAAGATCTATCAAGAGTAGAAAACAGATCTTAACCAATAGAACTTAACAAGAACAAATCAAGTTCAGATATAAATGAGAATTTAAATTTAATGCAAATTGATTTATGTCAAACACAATAACAAAACAAAATTGTAATTCAAATTCAAGTAAACAAAGGTTCTGTATTCTTTCTGAAAACTAAAATCACGAACGAAAAGACAAAATATTATTGTATAGCAATAAAAGCTTTCCTCCGGCAGTTAAGAGATTATTAAAAATAAATTTTAATTAAGTAAGAAATTATCAGAAATCACTAATCAAACAACTTTTTATAAGTTACTTACCGAACTATCAAAAACCGCCACCTTCCGTCTCCGGGAAACGTTTAACAAAACAAACGCCAACGTTTTCGGCCCGGCACGACCGAATCGGTCAAAACGTTCCGTTTCGAAAAGGCGTTCGAATTCGGTCGCACCCGAAGACGGCCCGCGGCACCGGGTCGAAAACGTCGGCGTCCGTTCCGTCAAAAGTCTCCGGCGACGGAAGGCAGCCTTTCGACGGTTCGGTAAGAAATTAGTTTAAACAAAATCTTAGAAAATTAAAAGAAAAATTAACGGCGACGGCGAAACGACCGCAGTCGACAATAGATTAAAACGACAAATAAGATTTTTACATCGTATTTAAAGCTTTGTTTCGGTTTATCGTCAACCATAATATAAGAATATTACAAATATATTTTTCAGTTTTTCACATTAACAAGAATTTATTGGAATAAATTACCATCGGAAAAACGAAGAATCGACAACGCTCGACGTACGAGAAACAAAACCGAGTCGTTCTTTTTAATATACTTTTTACTTTGTTATAAAATATCACTTTTTGTCGTTTACTTTACACTCAAAAATAACTCGACGACTTTTATAATAAAAATTCTGGCTAAATTTTACTTTATAAAATGAATATTGTTTTTTTTATTAGGCGAAACGACAAAGCAAAACTATACGACATAATTATACAAAATTAACGATTCTAATTGTTTGTTTTAATAAAAATAAGGCATTCGGTACGTAATCGATACGTTGGTACGAAATTACATAAACGTGCCCAAGACAGAGTATTCAAACTGCAAAAGAGAGAACTCGCGAGTAATATTTACGAAATAGTTTTTCACTTATATCCACACAAAAAATAAGCGATTAATTCTTCATTCGACGTTTTCAACGTCTTTATCGTTTGATATTTGATAGATTTATTTATTTCCGAACTCGTGTCCTACATACGTGTCGCGCGCGTTCATTTATACACGCCGTTTGTTTCCCATATTGTTAATGCGTACAATTACGGATCATTTCCTTACACAACTAGAACTTACGAGTGTTCGTTCGCATCGGATAAAAGCTGGAAAATTTCAAGTTAATCAAAAAATGTAAACATGGAAAAGATTGCGGAGTCGAACGCTCGGGAAAAAGTTATCAAAAATTCATTCCAGCTGTTCGATCGACGGAGACGGATCAAAATCAGAAAAAATCATCCGACGGGAGTCTTGCGGGAGCGCATTAATTAATTATTCCGGCAATTTACACAAAAATACGGTTGAATATTCAATTTTTTTTAAATTACGTAAACATTTGAAAGGAATAATTTAAGAATCAATCGTACCAATTTATAGATTCCTGCGCTGCGTTTACCTACTTTACTCGTATTTCTTTGAAAAGTTAACAGACACGAGACAGGTCTCTTCTTTTTAACCGTACGCCACGTCCACGTTGACATTCTGACGTCACCACCGACAGATAGGCTAACTCGATTGGTCGGTTCTTTTTTGTTTACTCGCGAGAAAACGTGTCACTGGGTTGACGTTCTCGGCATTGCATTTCTTGACAAATTATTGTTTTTTTCTATAATATTATAAATAGTACCGTTCGTTTTAGATGAACGACGAACCACCGCTTCTCCGGCCGATATTCCGCTCTCTTCTCGTAAATTTTACTATTGATATTCTTCGTTTCGCCACGCGTCATTTCCTTCCCCGGTTTCTTTTTCGGTTTATTCCAAAATAATCTCCGGCCAATTAAACGAATTTTGAAAAATAAAAACTTAAAAATATCGAAAAGCGGGAATAAAACGACACGTGACTACCGTGGTTTTCCGCCAAAGCGACATCTACCGAAATTTGTCTTTAATATTAAAATATGAATTTATAAATATTTATGAATTTCGAATAATGTTATATGATTTTTGAAACGGTGGACCAAATTCCATAATTTACAATATCATTTGATGCTTTATAAATCCGCTGTTATCCAGTAAATATCCCGAAATAAATGGCGAATAATATTTACGATTCGGGAAGATGGAGTAAGACTGTAGCGCCAACTGCGGAGAAAACCGAAAGTCTGGTCGTCATTTTTGACTGGCGTCTAATTACGGAACGATTCCGTAGCCGTAGTTCTGTTTTTTACCACGAGACGTCGCTACTTCGTGACGTCGAGAAGCTAATTCTGACTGTGGTGTAAATTCACCACAGTCAAAATTAATTTATTACGAACGAAATTTGCTACTGTTCGTTTGAACAGAAAACGTATTTTGATTACTATTCGTTTATTGAACGTAAAATTTGTCTTTTGTCTAATAGTCAATGTTTATATTATAGCTTTAAAAGATGGCTATTGTTCATTATTTTTATCGAAATATTTAAAATTATACAGTATATTATACAAGTTATTCTACAGAATATGTAGACTTTCGTTCTTAAATTCTTTTAATCTCAAGATTTTCCTGCTGAATCTTCAATCTCTTACTCGAAATTTTTGCTTTTTGTATTACAGTAGAACGTCGTTTATCCGAATCAATTGGGGACTGGGGTTGTTCGGTAAATCGATATTTCCGATAACCGATTATCTACGAAAAAATATATTAACCTATCCCGTGTAGAAATTTTTCTCCGTTGCGTGTCGCTTCGCGTCGAATTTTCGTCGATGTTAAGCCTAACGAAGACTATTGTATCGTTAGAAATTATTTTTTTATTTTGTACAAACAAAATAAATATATTGAAAAATATAAAAACAATAAAAAATTATACTTCAGAAGTTAATTTAGTATCAAAAACGTAAAATATTTGAGTAGCCGAAGACATAGCCAAAGATTACAGCGCCACAGCACTGGCGAAAATTTAAATTTGTCGACTGGAATTCCTTCGGATAACCGACGTTTCGGATAACCGACCTTCGGATAAACGATGCTCTACTGTATTTTTAATACTTTCTTTTTGGAAAACACAACAGCCTTAGAAGTCTATAATACTATAGAAGGTTTGAAAAACAGCACTCCAGACATCAGTTTCTTAAATATTGAAATCTTAAAACACATATCTGAGTTACTTTGTACTCGAATATTTGTTGTCTCGGGAAAAAAGTGGAAAGACAAATTTTTATGACAAACGGATACGTAAATCGTAAATTTAAGGAAAATAAATTCTAGAGC